GACATGACATAAAAACACTAACAAACTATGACATCTTCTCACATCCTGTTGTCAGATATTTGTGTTATGTCAGAAAGAGTTATGTGGCCAATGTCAGATCTCTCTTACCCATCATCCTTCATACCAACTGATCATACTGACTCAGGGTGATACTACGGGGGTACATAATACCCAGAATGCTTTGGGTTTGAGTTTTATGTAATTTTTTGTGTCACATTTTAATAGCATGTTGAAATATTTAAATAGTTTTGTATATTTTGTCAACAGTTTTGTTTGTGCCAATGTTGTATCTGTGACTGTAATGGCGTGGTTTCAGCTCTTGTACACTTATTCTTGCATGGCTAAGGATGTTTTCTTTTTCATTTCTCATTGTCTTAAAAATAATGTCTTAAATTTCTATAACTGTCAAACATTGCTGTCAGATCTCCACATTGGTTGAAGAACTATGCTTGTAGAGTTTATAAACAGAAACTAAAGAATATTTGGAAATCTTAACAGAAAGGATTATCTGAAATAATCTACCTATACTTGAGAACATCAGCTGACCCGGAAATAGCCTTGTTATACATTCTTGGTGTCAGGGCTTTTTCATGTTGCAAATTTTCTGAAATTCCATTAGGTTGATTTCTGCTTTTGTTGCCTTATTTCATGTTTTATGTATACACGGGGGTTTTGGTGTTATATTTCTACCTGGTAGTGGGAGTGATAATCTTTGTACCTATACATATGTGATTTTTGTCAACCTTGTATTTTTATATAGTTACTCCTAAAAACCTTTATGTACATGTATCAAAATATGTTTATTTCCTTAACATTTATAGGTGGGGAAATATTTTAGTGCTAGGCCCTGTTGGAATGGTCATTTGTTTAAACAGAAATCATATTGAATACTATTTTAAATGTTTCATAACAAAAAGATTAACATATTTTGTGATAACAATACATTTTATAAATTCTTGTATTCAAGTAATTAGCTGACTTCCCTACTCATGTAAAGCTATAATAAGACTTCTCTTCTCATTCAAATTTATAAAGGAATTTTTTAGTTTAGCAATTAAGTTTTAAATATCAGGCCAGATAACAAATTAATATGTTCAATTAAGATTATTTGACCCTGTGGCTCTAATTGTTCACTTTTATAAATCACACTCCTGGTGTTTTTTTATGAACATGTACACCAAAAGAAATGCCCAATACTTATTTAGTGCCTATGATACTGAAGGTGAAGTGACCTAGTTTTACTAGAGGTGATTAACATTATTTACACCATATCACATTGGAGTTTGTTAAGGGATCGCTTCTGTTATTATAGACCTGGTTGTTATGTTCACTTTGATAATTTTTTGAATATGTTGATTTATCATTGCCTTACTGAAACAAAACCATAAGAAGTGAACAGTTACTTTATTTACCCAATTATCGTGCCAATATAGTGTGCAGACCTGTTTATTAGGCGGCACATTTAATGCAGTATGTGTGTATGTACCAACATGACAATTGAAAATATTGTGTTCAAAATCCTTGTATATCTCTGTGGTGTGAAGGCACTGTATAACCATTAGTTCAGTTGTATATTGACAATTGAAAATATACTGTTAGAAATCCTTGTATATCTCTGTGCTGTGAAGACTCTGTATAACCAGTTATTGAGTTCAGTTGTGTGTTTACAAATATTTGTTTTATGTCACAGTACCAGAAGTCTCTCAACAAAAGTATAGAGAAGATGAAGTCTGTGTTTAGGAACTTCGAGGACGATGGATGGGAGGAAGTTTCCGGCTCTCAGGACGAGTAAGCATAACTTATCTGAGCGTACAACCTCAGTTATCGTAAGACAAATTGTTAAGTATTTAAGTCTAAATCCAGGGCCTATAGTCCTGGCCCCAGGATCATGAAATGATCTTTGGTCTAAAACTATCT